ACAAAGTCATTCAATTTAGCAACGTATATAGGCATGGTTTAAAAAAAAACAGGCTCTATACAAAAGGAAAGCAGAAATGTCATAAAGGTAAAAAGAACCTGTCAAGACAGCTGATATCCAATGCAACTGCACCTCTCATACAAGAGCCCTGCTTTTGAAAGTTTTGCAATGCAGGCCTTCAGCAGTGGACGGGAATCTTAACTATGGCAATTTCTCTTTAAAGGCAAAGTCCACCTTTTAGAAAAAAATAATAATTGCACACATTTTCATAAAAGAAAAAATTTGCATTATTATTATCATTTTTATTTTCATTGGAGCCAGGAAAGCATTGCAACTGTGATCAGTGGATCATGGATACAATGCTCTGGCTCCTGCAGACTCTTCCTCCCGTCCATTCAGTAACATGGATGGGAGGTAGTATGAATGGACAACAAGTGCAGTGACATCACCGCACTTGTATTTCATTAAGAGCTACAAGTCCCTTTGCCATGGTGGGAAGATGGTAGTCATAGATCTGTGAATGGTTGATGTGACTGTGTGGGGGAAAGCATGCACAGCCATGCCAAATTCAAAAGTATACAGCAGCCTGCAGGGTGAAGAACCCGGCAAATCGCATATGGTAGAGGGAAAGCGGGAGGGCGTGGGGGGGAGGCAGGATGTTGGTTTGCGATGTGACCATGTTTCATGTTATACCCTGAATATGAACATTGCCAGAATAGTAAATTTAGCGTTTAAACATATTTTGGCAACATAAAAAGCTAAATGGAGACACTGCAAAGTGTTTGTAAAAAATATTTTGTGAGAATCTTTTTATTACTATCTAAGTTCTCAGTGCCAAGTTGAAGCTCTGACATACCTTCTCTGCACTGTGTCTCTCTCTATAGGCCAGGTAAGGCACATATATTGCCCTGAAAAAATCCTGGGTCTGCCAGAGTTCCAACTTAAAATCAGTGTTTACAAAATACTTTCTAAAAAATGTACCTTCTATATATACAAAAATGTCAGCTGTCATATCAAACAGGTTTTGCTTAATGGATTAGTGTGGATATTCAGTGTTGCAGTTTTATACTCAAGGAAAGCAATGGCGCAGTTTAAAAAACAGCAAAGCCGGCTAAAGTTGATGAAATCTAGGCATGAAGCCAGCCACTGGGAATGGTGGAACACTGTTGGCCTGTGGCAGGTTGGGTGACAGCTAGTGGTTGTTTAAAACTGGCTACTGCAAATCTGTTTTTTAAACATTTTAAGACACAAACTATAACCAGACAGAATCCTCATATTCCTCCAGATCTGTGGGCTTTGATAAAGAAAAAAAAACGTAAATTATTAATAATGGATTCCAAGCTTCAGGTCACTAAATGGGGAATCATGGAAATTTTGGTGGACTCTAAGGCTCACTTACCTCCCTTTTTGAGTCCTGTTGGTTGCAGTGATGGTTATGTTGCTTAGCTGGGTTTCAGCAGATGTGTTGATGGCACGGTCAATGCTGAGCTCCAAGAAGGTGACATTTAGGTCAAACGGTGCCATCTCATCATTGTCGTCATAATCAACATACAGATTGTCCAGGTTGGGTTCCACGGAATTTAGTGGTTCCCCCTGAGATAAAATTACACTTCTGTTCAAGCTAATAAATGGCTCTCTAGAGTCGGAGCTCTTGGCGGAGAACTTCTTCATAATGGCATTTTCAGGCAGGAACTCCTTTGAGGTAAATCGGGGGGTGGCATCTTGATCGCCGTCATCCGTCATATAAGTTGTCTGATTTGTGTTTATATCTGCAAAGATGAATTAGAAAAGGAATTATTAAAAAGATATTTGAAACAACCCTTTCCTGCAGGTTGCCATTACTGACTTTGCTCTGCAAATGCATGTTGCCTGGCTGTTATGCTGATCCATTGGCTACTTTCTGTGTCACTGACTTTGAAGCATTTGAAGAGCCAGAGTAAGGTTTTAAGCCCTGATATGCATTCTTGGTATTAACTCAAAGTATTGAAGCCAGAGGGTCAGCTTGACAACCAGGAAAATTGCCTTTGCAGGCTGGAAAGCCAGCAATGGCAACCTTCAGATTTCTTTTTGCAGGAAATGTTTAATTTAAAAATGGAATTCCACTCTAATTCAAGTAGGCCTCTGCTTGTGTCTTCCATCAGTGTTGACTTAGACATTTGGTCTTGTCAGTGTTGACTTAGTAAAGCTTAGACATTTGGTCACATGATCATGGTTGAGAGCAAGGTTCAGCCAGTATGAGCTCCAGTCTTATTCTTTCACAGCAATCACATGAACAAATGCTTAGTCTGAGTTAGGATTAACAATCTTATTGTTGGGTTTATTTATAGTGTTTGAATATATGTGTATGTCGGAGCTGCCATAGATGCTTATTACATATGCAGGCTTTGCTTCCTACTAAGTAAAGCAGTACTGTATTACTATGCTGTACAGTTCCTTTGGTTTAACAACGGCCTGCTTGCAATGGTTGAAAACAGTACACTCTCTAGTTGGTTCATCTTGTAATCTCAGCAATTATTCAGTAAGGAACTTGATTGCACTTTTTAGGGGCGCAAACAGCCAGTATTGAAACAACCAACAAAAATGGACACCTTGCAGTCATCGACAACTTTTAATGTGGAATAGAAATTCTCTAAAGCTACCTTTAATGGCTTTGCATTTTGTCCTTCTGTCACAGTCCATTGTCTCCCCTCCTTCATACACTTCGTTTGTCTGTTGTCCACCGGCAGAATTGAGCCTCTCTGTGGAGGTCTGCCTCCCTAAACCAGGCGCCTCTCCTTTCGATCGCCCTTTTTGGAGGTTAGCGACATAGCTAGTGTTTCCAGATGTCAGATCCTCTTCTAGCTCTTTGCTCTCTTCACTCTCCGATTCAGGGAAGGGGTAATGCACAGGCTGAGTGATCCGTGAGTGCGGCCTTCGTAGAAGAGTGTACTGGAAAGTGATGGAGGGGTTCTTGCCATTTTGGTTCCAGACCTGCAAAATGAGACAAGTGTTTGTTTCTTGTCATGTCCCTGCAGTTAGGAAATACCACACAAACCAGCATTAGTATGCACTAGCCGTCATAATAATGTGCCCACGCATACCCTTGGCTTGTGATGATTCAGATCCATCATTCTCCAGGAGCCTCCAAACCCAGGCAACATGCAGAATGCAAATAACAACTTTGCAGCAAGTTTGAGGTCAGCCATGTCCCCCCCACCACCACATCCCACAGCGTATTGCAGCAGCCTCTGGAGCTACATTTTTATCCAGGCGTAAGTACTAACATATTATTATGCCTACTTCTGTGCAGTATTTCTTTGTGACAGGTTCAGAGAACCATCTGTAAATTTATCCAATTTCCTCTCAGTAATTAACAGGAAAAAGACTTTCTGTCTGTGTCCATAGAGTTTATTGAGTCAAGAGCATCACTTGTTGTCATGTACATCTCACCCAAAAACGTAAATCAAGATGAACAATCTGGTATCTTTTACATTTTTAGAAAAGACAAACTGAAGCGGACAAGAATTCCAGTTGTGTCAGGAGTTCATCAAATCATCTACTTACTATGTCATGACTTAACAACGTACAAAGTGGTTGTTACTCTTTTGTACTGTTTGAGCTGGGATTTCGTTTGAACAATGGATCCTATATACATTGCCACTATTCTTGATCTCTATTACATTTTAAAGAGATACTTTTTTTAAAAAGGTTTTACTACTGGTTGACCCACCGGGACAGTCATTCTAAATAATAAAAGATGGCAGAGGCAGTTGTTACCTCTGCCTGGAGATGAAGCCAGGAATATTAATCAGGTATAGCAGACCATAGATCAGCAAAGGACAGAGAAGAGTCAAGAGGGGGAGTAGAGGCTGAGCAGTACATCATTGGCCCTACTCTCAGTCAAGACCACGCCAACTTTTCTCCACAAAAAAAGAGGTTGCTCTGGAAATATCTATTTGTAGTCAGTAAAATATAATTAAGTTTTTGAATTCCGTGACTTGGCTCAGTCTGTTTGATTCCAATTTCAAAATTGACAGGTCCTCTTCACAGACAAATAGGTATTCAAGCGTTTTAAGTTGTTGTGTGTGTGCGTGTGCTGCCCAGCAGCTGGCAGAAAGTGGGGGGTCCTACCATGATGTTCAGGCCCCGGTTAGTTGGTCCTTGAGCCACGATGTATTCTATTCCCGTCTCATACACATCCATGGGCCTTCTGTATTTAAATACAGTCCCGGCAATGTTAAAGTTTTTTGGGCTGTCAACTTTGAGGTTTCCGTTGAAGTAGTAAGATCCGGAATCATCTGCAACAGCTTGAAAACACAGACAGAGATCAACTTGGCACATAGATTCACTTATGGTGGCACTGTGATAGTATTCACCTTTTGTGAATAATGTTTTAATGGACCCTTCCAACTAAAAGTGATACTGTAGCTATAGGGGGAGCCTGATGTGGCAAGTCATCCCTTGGTTTCCTATATGTCTTGGATACTCCAGTAGTCTGATTTCCCTGCCGTAAGTCCCATCTCTGTTTCTGTCCACCTGGGAGTTTTGAGTGTCCCCTCCCATCGTTGTATGTTTCAGCTCCTCCTGTTACATTCTTGATAAAGTAAAATGAATTAAATTTAAAAAATGAAGAAATAAAATAGTGGGAATCCCCCATAACGGGCACAATGGGAGTGCAGAGCCAGGAACTTTCCAATAGAGATCCTGGGAGATCAAGAGTAGCAAAGGGTTCTATCACTTTCTCGAACTCTATGAGGTCAAATATTGGCTCCTTTCTCACAATCTAAAGGTGCCCATACACCTTACGATTATCGGACGAAACGTTTCGTCCAATGATCGAATAGTCGTACGATTTTCGTACGGCAGCCCCATCCTGCCCCGATGATCGCAAGATTAATGTAGCCGTAATTAACGAAAAGCACCTGGACGAAATGCGGTAATTGATTTGTCGTATTTTCGTTTGCGCATGCGCAGTGTAGATCGTACGACTTTTGACGGATGGAAACGCCAGCAACCTTACGACAATCGTACGATCGAGCAAAGTTTTCAAACATGCTTGACCGTCAAAAGTCGTACGATTGTACAGTAATGTCGGTTCGGGCACTCTATTCACACGTACGATTGTCGTTAGAAAAGTCGATCGCATACGATTATCGTATGATAATCGTAAGGTGTATGGGCACCTTAAGTTTAATTACCTTCAGGTTTGTGCTCCTATTTTACCACTTTTCAGTGCCTTATTATGTGTTTAAATGTGGCTTGTAGCGGACTTAAACGTTCCTGCGGCCCTTGCCACTTTATTGATTAAAAAAGGGGACTAAAACTAGCTGTATATTGTGATTTAACAAACAACATGAAGATATAATATCACCCACCCAGGACATCTGCAGATTTCTTCCTCTCCACTATCTGAATGTCTCTCGCACCAACTGGGATGTGGGTGACCAGGGCATAGCCTGTGAAGAAGAACATGTTAGAAAAGAATGAACCAAACCCAGTGTGAAATCCACAATACCAGAAAGCTGTGCCATTATTTCAAGGCAGGAGATGTGAAGCTGGGGATGAAGATGAGACAAAAGTCTTGTGACGTCTATACATGTGGCTTACAACTAAATAAGAATTGTTATCTTTTTTTCCCAGTGCTGCCCCTCTATTGGTTAACACAGAACACATTTGGCTAAAGAAAGGTGTGGAGCAAATGATTTTCCTTCCCTGTTTTTTTTAATTATATTCAGCCACATCGCTGAAAGATCTCTGACAACCTAAGGGCTCATGTAAACAGGCTTTGTTTTCCTTCATTTGACTTGCATTTTAAGCATGCTTCACATGCAAGTCAGCAGTTCAAAGTGTGAACCACTAGCAAGCTGCCTTTGACCTGCTTTGTGTTTTCTTGGTTTTACTGATATTTATTTATATTGCATGCAAAAACATGTGTTTACTTGCAAAATGCAGTATTTGTAAAGAAAGCCCATCTAGGACTTAGGGATAATTTGGGTATCAAGGGATAAGTAGTATAATCTCCCCATTAGTGCTTGAATTCTAGGCGGATAAAAAAAAAACCACAGGGAGGACCTTGCTGTGCTGTCCATAAAGAGTGCCTGGATCACAAGACTGACTCAACACAATTAGAAATCCTTTGACAGGTAAATCAGTTCCTATATATTTATTTATCTGTCTGCTTGGAATTCTTCTTTAGATACTTCTAAACTGCCAAGTTCAGCAAATTGGGGGAGTTTCAGAGAGGACAAAAGTACTGCACACATGGAGACAAATATCCTCTTTTCCCATTTTTATCTCTCTCTCTCTTTCTCCCTTTGCATTTCTCATTTATTCTTATTCTAATAATATCTATATTTAATTTTATTGTTACATTTCGCTCCAAGGCTGGTTGATGTTTATGCTCTTATATTTTGAAGCTAATTAAAACTTTAATCAAAAAGTTACTTAAAAAACCAAAGGAAGTACAGTTATTCGTTGCCATAGCAACCAGATTCCCCCACACTGTTAAAAGTATTAGGATGTGGTTCTTGTTGGTCGGCTGGTTGCTATGAGCAATGAGATCTGTTCTTTAAGATAAGCAACTTATTCTACATGAAATATTCAAAGTATTTACCAAGATGGGAGGTTCCTTTCCTGTAGTTTCCCGTTATGTGAACGCAGCTACTTCCATCTCCCTGACAAACGCCACACTTATCCAGGGTGTGGGTGGAAAACAAGACCCCGTCACATCCTATTGGCTGAGGAGGAAGAGAGAGAAGCAGTCAGCAGAAAGACAGATGTTGCTGAGAACTTCTTCATGTCTACAGTAATGTCTCCACAAACCTCACATTTTCCAGACACGCAAACCCCTCGGTAGTCACTGTATTTGCAGGATGTGCCATCCCTGGCTTGAACCATAAGCTGCCTCTGACCATCACTGGTGGTGCACTGCAGATCACAAGGTTTGCTGGAGATGTGCACATAATCATCTAGGCAACAAAAAATCCTGGTGAAATATAGAAGTTGCTGGTCCATTTTGTTTTTCAGATTCCATTATTGCACATTCAGGCTTATTCAGTAACGCAAACAGCATGGAGGATATGCCAAATAATCCTTAGCAACATCCCCCTGTGATGTAAATTGGTCAAGGTCCCAAGGACTCTTAAACTCCAGGTAGAATTTTTGGGTTAGATTCCGCCCCACTCCCTGGCCTGCTGGTTGCTGCCACTGAGACATTTTCAAAAGTTTCCATTCTCGTCTCTGGAGCCTTAATGATGCATAGTATGAGTGCATGGTAGCCCTTCCTTCACTCCCCGACCTCTTGACAGAAAGTAGTTGCACCACTGGTGCAACTCTGTTCACAAATGGAAATCCTGTGGAAAAATGAACTGCTCCACCTTGATTCAAAGTTGCACCAATGGTGGAATGACGAAAACAATATAATACATGTAAATGCAGGCAAAGAACAGGAGACAGATTGACCATGTATTGAATTCATACAGGGAAAGTTCTACCGGTATGTACAGCACTCAGAGCATAACACAGATGTAGACCTGGATATACACCTGGAAGATGGAGCCAAATTGATAATGTTCTGATGGGGGAAAGGATGAAGTGTAGATTGAGTACCCACACCTGTGTCCACTGAATAATCTTAATTCTTTTGTGGTTAAAACTGAAGTCCCCCTTGCCCATGAAGTAAATGGATAAAATGGTCCTTTGCTTCATTTCCCAGTTTACTACAGCGCCTTAGTGGTTTCCTGATTTTACAAAAGTGCAGGCTTATGCTTTCTGTCATTACTGTCTGACCTGACTGTTAACCAAATTGATTCTCTGCTTTATAAAAGACAGCACGGGAAATCCTGGGTGATTACCACACTACTAGATTAAGTTGACCCACTTTTGTCTCAGACTTTTCTTGGCAGGGAGATTTTGCTGTTTGAATGTCTAGGCTTAGCCCACTGGACTCCTGCAATTTTAGACATTTATTAGCATAGTTATAAGATAATCTATACAGATTTAGAAAAAAATCAAAATAAATCATCAGTTTAGTGCACCTCCACATAATCTAGCTCTTTCAAGCGGCAAACACCATCGATGATGCCACTCACCGGGATATAGCGGTTTCCACTGGTAGGTTTTGCCATTGTACATGTGCGAATTGAAGGACGTGCACTGCTCTTCCCGAAAACTGCGGCTGTTGGATGGACATTCCTGGGGAAAAAAAGAAAGGCTTCATCAGACAAATTTAAGAATAGAACGTTTGCTCTCTGTACTACCAAAATAAACCAGATTCTTCAAGGCAGAAAAGAAAACCAGGAAGAATAGTGATTGATATAGGGAACACACTTATTCCCTTTTCTTTATAGACGCCCACCAGTACAAGTTGGAAAATCTCTTTTTCTAGCATTTGGAAGCTTTGTTGCTGCCTACATTGTCCAGTGTTCAAGTTAGTCCTTTAATGGACATTTATTACCACTAGGCTTATGCAAGATCCTGAGTATTAATTATTAAATTATACTTGTGCAAGCTTAAAGTCTACTTGATCTTTCTGTTAAAATAGCTAAGCACATTCCAAGTGCAATCAAAACAAAAGGTGTGCAAAGTATATTTTCTATAGAAAGCAACCACAGCTGCAGAGTAGAAAAGCTTGCCATTCTGTAGCACCATGAATGGGAATGGGCTTTGGCTTTCTAAAGAAAATGACTAAAACTTAAAACAAGAACTGTGAGGGCCTGTTCACTCCACCCAGTGATTTCATCTCATAGTCCCGTGGCATGAACACACTTGCCCGCTTAATCAAACCCTCCCTGCGTTCTGGGGCAGGAGGGGCTGTGGTGGTGCCATTAATTTCAATGGCACTGTAGACACACCTCCCACCTGAAGGGCGATTGCCCACATTGGAACATGTGGTAGCGCAATGCCCTGTGTTCCAGTGTGCGGTTCGATTGCAAAAAATGCACGCCAAGGGACTGTGAGATCAACGCACTGGATGGGGTGAAGGGGCCCTAAGACTTTGCATACCTTTTGTTTTAAACCAAAACTTCAGTTGGTCTTTTATTATGAAATTGTATGCTTGCTACCTTATTAACTTTATTTGCTTTGTCAGATGATGTCTCTGAAGCTAGGAGTCAGACAATAGAGGTTCCCTGAGGTCTCAGTTGCTGCCCTGTCAACCCACCTGATGTCAATATACCATGCTTTGTCTCCCAGCAACTAGGTTTACATAACACTGTCAGATAATAGAGGCCAGTAGTTGCTTACATTCCTCTTACAGGACTGCAGGATCTGCTATTTGATACTGTTATGTACACTTGGGACCTCAGAGATGGCATATTTTAGCATGATGTCAAGCCATTGACAGAATAGCACCTGTGAGACCCCAAGAGGGCTCTCTGCCTTCATTTTGGGTTTTAAAGGTCATCATCAGACATACCAAGCAAACTAATTAGGGGGACAACAATATAGCTTTTTAGGAAATCCTGCACAGTTAAAATAATTTACGAACATTCCAACTAAGCTCCATCATGACTGGTTCTCTTTAGGTTTAAAATATTCCCTTTGAGCTTAAAGGAAGCCTCTGCTCATCCGCTGAGCCTGTTATGCCCCCTTACCTGCACTTTACAAAGGTGGAATCTCTTGGAGGTTCCTGTACAGTTTTTACTACCAAGGCCACTTAGCAGTTTTCTCCTGAAATGGTAAAATAGGGGTGATTATTATATGATACTTCAGGAAACCATCTTAGCCATACATTGTCTCTGTTAACTTTAACAAGGTCCAATCAGCAAGAGTCAACAACAGCTGCATTTTGAAAATAAGTGCAATACCTATTTGTTACGTTAATGGCCTATTTAAATTGAATGGGGCTACCATACACACAATGCACCACCAATTCACAAAAATATGTGCTGAAGGGCATTGCGTTAAGGTAAATGGGCACTATGTCCTTTTATATATTCATGCAATTACGTTTTAAAACTGCTAGCTAATTGCGTAAAACGAATCCTTGTATTAATTTTTGCAGGCAGCCTAATAATGACAATGATTTACATATGACAGAAGGGAATTGGATGACAAGAAAAGAGAACTAACATGCTGCAATGTACTAATTGAAGTGACCTGTTTCGCTGAGCCTCTAGATAAAATGTAGCAATGTTACAATGTTATGCAGAAATCACTCTGGCTGTGACCTTTCTGGATGAATTATTTGCAGCATCCAAATCTTCTGCCTGTGTTCAACTTTCTAATACTGTGAGTGAAAATGTAAGCAGAAGTCAACATAAGTGCTGCTTTTCCACTGCTCTCTACTGACTCTACAATGTCACTATGAAGGGATCAAAGTAAAAGTCACTTCTACATTATTCCTGTGAAATCGTCATGTGCAAAAGGTCACACACACTACACACATCCTCAACATCACTGAAACTCTAAGATATCTAATGCAGAACCCTGGATATGATAGGGAAGGGTGCTTTTCTAGAGGATTATGGGAAGAGACAGGGCTTGCATAATGTAATTGTTGCTGGTGGAGACTTCTGCCTTGGATAGTGTACAATGGATAACATTGAGCGTTCAGCGGCCCCACCTCTGTCTCAGGCAGTGCCTCTCCTGAGACTTCACACCTCCGCCGCAGGTGCGGGTACACGCAGTCCACTTGGTCCACTCCCCCCACCAGAAGGTTGTCACATCGGCCCCTTCTTCCAGGCTGTTGGACGTCTGAGTTATGTCCTGAGTGTTATTCGCATCCAAGTTTAGGGAAGAAAACAAAGTAATAACTTGAACATTTTCCTTCCTCTGCATGAATCACTATGGTCATTCAATGGCAGTGATTTATCGCCTGTATTTATATATATATTAGCCAGCACTACATACACAGAGTCATCTGCACCCTCCCTGGAGGAGCTGACGCTCTATTCTCCCTACCACTCTCTGAGATCAGTTCCATCAGATACCCATCAACCTCCTGCTAAATTGTTAGATGCTGGGAAGAAACCACAGAAACAGAAGATAAGACACATGTAGATAGTTTTGCCTGCTGGAATTCCACCGAGACCTGTTCTTTTAATGCTTTGCCAATTTTTTTTTAGTGTCTCCGCAATGTCTTTTTTTTTTAATATACAGTAAAACAAAAGCCATTATTTTACAAATCTTTATAAAGAGGCCATACTAGGTTTATAATTTTATATCTAAGCTATAGCTAGAGTATATATACATTATAATGTGTTTACTCCCACATACTCCAACAATGAGCTCTGCCATACCGTGTTACTAGGTCAGCCCCATATCCATGTGACTTCCTACAAAAGGAAGCTCTTCTTAAAATAACAAAATAAAGGGTTACTTGCATTACATAATAAAAATTTGTAGTGGAGTACCGATCTATGGATTTACTCTATTGCCATTAGAAGTCATGGAGAATTTTCTGCCCATTATGAAAACTGAGCCACCTTTTTCTGCTTTTCTTTGACACATAGTATTAATTAAAGGAGAACTATGGGGTCAGTGTTTTTCCCCATAGTTCTCCTAGGGTAACGGGAGGACACAAACTAGCGTCCTCCCGTTACCCTAAGCTCAGTATACCACGAGCTACAGCTCGCGGTATACTGAGACGCCGCAGCCGGAGCGGATCCCGACGTAGATGATGGGATCCGCCCAGCTGTGTGAGTGACAGCTGGCTCTGCCTATCTAGAGGCAGAGCCAGCTGTACCCGCCCCCTCCCCCGTCCTTTCCGCCAGTCAGCGCTGGCAGATCGGAGCGGGGAGAGGGGAATCCAGCCCTCCCCCTGTCACGGCAGAGAGCCGTGACAGGATCGAGAGGTGAGGGAACACGGTATGTGTTCGCTCACCTCCCGATCTACTGAGCCGACCTGTGACAGTCTCATTGTCACAGGTCGGCTAGAACTATGAGGTGAGTGGAAATCACTCATCTCATAGTTCTCCTTTAAAATCCCCTCAGGGGAGGGTGATAAGGGTTAGAGCTTAGGCACAACCCACTGAAGAGCTCTTTGCACCTTCCGTACTCCCAACTATGTGGCCAATGAGGACATCAGTGCTGCGCTCAATGATTGCAGAGACAAGTGCTTACCTGTGTTATAGAGAAAGTGACATTTCCCAATATAATTAGCAGAGGTATCAACCCCCGGTTCAGGCTTTTCTGGATAATAAATAGGAGTAGTTGTCTGTTTCCAAGGGTAATGCTCATTTCTAGATGAATGAGACAAAAATAAGTTCTTCCTTAGGATTCTCACACAGGCTGTATATTTTTAAATATTTCAGTTCAGTTTTGTTAATAAAGCATTACAACATTTATGTTTGATCTTCTTGTCATATAATGTTGCCATTTTATTTCAATTTAAAGCAAAAAAATTATATCCTATTAACCGAGAGAACACACATCATTTGTGCCCTGACCTTTTCAGGATCGTCATCTCCCTGCTTCTCTAGCTGGCTCACAGCCTCTCACAAAAGTCTTTGTAAACCTTGCCACACACACATTACAATCTCACTGTACAATATTCTTTAGATCTACCAACAACATGCAGTGCACGGACTTGTCTGCTTGGATAGAAATTAATTGGATAGTTTAGATAGGTCCTCATATTGCATACGTCTGGTATATATAAAGGAGATTGTACAGATATAAGTCAGTCTGATTGTAACATATATGGTCAGCTTTAGACATTATTTACTTAAAGTACCTCTTGTACCTATCAGAAGCCCCCCCTCCTTTCCCCAGGTACCTGCAACACAGACAAAAGAACTCTGCTTTACATCAGTTTACAATTTTTCAGGAAACTATCAATATTTTCCTTTTTCATACTATTCATGGCAAATTTTATTAAAGTGTACTGTGGAAAATGTGCCAAAAAAAAAAGCAAGCGAAGGGTAAAGACCATTGGTAGTCATTGGTATTATCTGTAGACTCCCTGCAGATGATCTTTTCCCCATTGCTCGCTTACCATGTCTTGTTCTGCACTGTCTCCCAATGCGGCAGTAACCATCTTAGTAGAGGCAGGGCATTGTCCTGTCAGAGCTGCCCCACTGATGACTGGTAAGGGCAATATTTAAGAAGCAGAGGGAGAGGTGGGAGAATCAGAGATCCATAGAATTAATGAAGCAGCAGTAGGGAGATACATGCAGTGCATGTCCTCAGGTACAGCTCACTCCCAGCAAGAAGGACAATGAGCAGTACAGCACTAAAATCACCAAATCTCACTCCAAATCTTGAGAGACTAGCGGTCAGAAGCAGTGCATTGGATGATGTCACACTGCAGATATACAGCTATTAAGCTCAGGGAACAGGAGTGCCTAGACACAGAAGTGCACTGCTCTTTTCAGGAAGAATTCTAGCCACAAAAGATATTTACAACATTTTAAGTAACTAAGGATTATGGTTCAGGAGAATTAACAATCAGTAACACTATAGCAGTCCTGGCTGTCACTGTTCAGCCTCTAAACACTCTACTGGATCAGTATATATAGCAGTGAAAGAGGCCAGGCCACGCGCTCAGTCCCAGTGCTCATTAGGGAATATCACGCCTTTAGTTTCTTTGTTATTCCCGAATTCCAGAGATTTATTGGAACCAATAAGAAGACTATAAAAGCAGCAGTTTCCTGGAAACATGTTAATGTATCAATCACTTATGTATTGATAAATCAAAAACATGACCGAAAGTGAAATGGATAAAATAAATAAATGCAGAAAGAGAAAGTTTATCTATTAAATACCTTCTTTAGCTACTTGTATACTAAGGAAAGAGATTAAGCTGATGTACAAAATAAGGATGGTAATAACACAGCTTGAGATTAACCACAATAGTCCAAAACTCATATGGTCCAGAAACAGACACAATAAAGGTAAATAAAGCACCTGGACCAGAAAACTGAAACCCATGTCTTCAAGGACTTGAACCTGATCTTTTCTTATACATTGTTTATAATTTGTTATATAGTAAAAAATAAAAACCCCAGTGGTGATTAAATACCACAAAAGAAATCTCTATGTGTCTCCAAAAAATTATCTAAAATTAATTTCGGTACAGCGTTGTATGACAGAATAAATGTCAGTCAAAATATTGCAGCGCTAAATACTGAAAAATGGCCTGGCCAGGAAGGGGATTTCACACCCTGGTCTTCAAGTGGTTAATAATGACATAGATATGTTAGGTGTAAAATGCTGTGATTTGGAAATACTTACACTTGCAGAGCATTCACTTCCTGCTTTGATAGGGCAAAATGACTTCAGTTAGCCAATGCAATGCACACTGGGATTGCCTTGTCTGGAGAGCATTGCGGGGAAATCTCATCTGTAATCTCACGAAATCTCAGAGAAAGGCATTTTCTTCCCCTGAGATGATGTGCATGGTCACATGTCCTAGTCACATGTGCCATAAATCCAGGAAGTCAAAGGAGAGCTAGTAATCTGCCCTTAGTAAACATGGTCACTGTCAGAAGACTGGGGGAGAAATGAGGTATGCAAAGAATTACAAAGCCGGTAATTATCTAGAAGTACGTGTTTGTAGATTGTCATTACTAAACATTTCTAAAGGTGTATTTGTTGTAATTTTAAAGATATGGGTAAAGGTCCTCTTTAATGAGTGGCTTGGTACAAGTGGTTTGGTACAAGGGGCTTGGTACAAGTGGCTTGGCACAAGCCGATTGTGGTGCCTATATTTAAAAAGGTTCAAAGCCTTCACCCAGAAACTACAGGCCTGTAAGTTTACCATCCATAGTCGAATATATATGTGAGGGTCTGATAAAGGACCACATACAATAGAGTCTGCTAGAAAACAATATCATGAGCAACAGTCCACATGGATTCACAAAAGACAGAAGTTGTCAATCAAATCCATTTTCTTTTTATAAGCAAGGGAGCAAAGGTGTAGACAGGCAGCTAATTTGTAAATCTAAGCTTATAGCCTTAGAAAATTCAGTCTGTAAATGGAAAGAAAACTTCCTTAAAGGGTTTCTAAACCCTCAGGTGTTTTTGCATATATCTACTGCTAGCAAGCAGTAGATATATGCAAAAACTTTAAAAAAAACAAAAAACCTTTTGAAACAGGTTTAAACTTACCTGTGTCTTCTCTGCATGCTCCTGTTTGAAAATCTGAAAAATCTCGGGCAGCCGCAAAGGATTTGGGGCGGGTGCATACGCAGTTCAGATTTTCGGCCGGGACACGAGGAGAGACACGAGGTAAGTCTATGGACAGCGTGCACCCGCATGCACAGGGGTGGACTGACAACACATGGGGCCCCCGGGCAATACATGGTTATGGGGCCCCCTTGTGCTCCGTCCATATACAAGCCCCTCCCACAAGTCCCACCTGTATAAACATTCTTGTGTCACAGATCAGGCAGGCACAGCCCTCTAATCAGGCATGTTAGAGGGCCGCCCGCTGGGGCCTCCCGAGGCTCTAATTGGGAGTGAGCAGCCGCCCGATTAGAGATTGTGTAGAGATGTCACCAGCACACCAAAATCCTTCTTAGGATAAGCAAATGTTCATTTATTGAAGTGCCTTGTCATATAAACAACAGGCACTAATGTGCCACGCGTTCAGGTGCTGGCGATCGCAATGAGGAGGGGGCGTGGCTGTGGTGCCATTGACTTCCATGCACCGCCACGCCCCCTCCCGCCCCAAAGCAAAGTGAGCTGGCCAGGTTGCATTCCAGAGCCTGAACGCTCTGGAACGCACTCTTTATGGCTAGCTGGGTCCTAACTCTGAAGTGACATATGCAGAGCAGTGCAGGAATAATTACAACCATCAATTTCCATCTACATGATTTTCTATTCATGTTTTAAAATGAAATCTGTTATCAAACTTACCGGTTCTTTTTGAAACAGTCCCCCTGAGAATTCTCTCTCCCCAAGCCTGTCGTCTGTGCCGCTCTGCACTGCCCGACCACCAAGGAAAAACCGGAGGAGGAGCATCATCTGACACCGGCCGTGAATTTTGTAGGAGCAGGACCCCGAGGGTGCCCCATGTGTGCCTGACCTGTGATGCCACTGGAAGCGGGCAGTAAGAAGGCAGCCTAATTCCTTCTTCTCCTCCGCAGCTGCAGATCGGCCGAGAGAGGAGAGCTGACAGGAGCGATAGCCTACGCGGTGGCGGCGGCAGCTGGATCTGCGCTGGACCTGCCGGCAGCGACCCCACCTGATGCGGCGCCCGTGGCAATAGTTTCAGCCCTGGGGGACGGGCCCCCTGAAGGCCGCGGGCCCTCGGGCAGTGCCCGACGGACCGAATGGTTGGTCCACCCCTGCGCATGCAGACACTGTGGCAGCCTTGTAATTTCTAATGTAAACACGGAGCATGTGCTTTGAGAGGGGAGAACGAGGAGCTGAATTATTGAGAAAACCAACATGGAGGCCTTAACAGGGCTTCTGCGGTAAAGTTTGAGGATGAATTGTTCCACAGTGCCTGTAGCTACATAGGCCAGGGAAGGCTTGTTTTAAACTAATTCACAGTTTGTTAAGAATATGTAAATACTTGAATGTCCATAGGCTGGTCACAGGTTCTGGAGTTCTTTTCATGAATGTAGAAGGTTAAGTGATAAGGTATTAAAACTAAAAGGGCTTTTGGAGAGAAAAAAACGAAGCAACAAACTTGATAGAAACGCTCTAAAAACAACTATGCCATAGACAGTGACCAGAAGCTTCTTGTGAACTTTGAAATATGTGCCGGGTGCAGATGTGCAGAAATCTGTTGCTTTGACGGCCCTACAGAGCTTGGGATTTTACCTCCTGGCTACAGCGTGTTTGAGTAGGAAATGTATCCGACTGTTACACCCCTCCCGGCACTGTAAGACAGATGCTGTTTAGTGAGGAGGTGGCGTCCTGGGACGAGCACACTTCCGCTCGTTGCCTCTCCAAACAAGTGCGGGGATGTCAGCTTCATCAGGCAGCATGGAGTCTCCACTTCTTATCCCACCCGCAGGATGCCTAAAGCGTGATCAGTGCTGAGTTCTGGGAAGAGCCGCTAGCCAATTACACACGCAGTAAGTGATATTTCTTGGATTCGTTTAGTACACCGACAATATACGGAACACCTCCAGGTTGCCATATTGCAAAGGAAGTGACATTTGAACCTTTCGGAAGTTGTAAATTGTTGTAACTTGAGGTGCACCGAAATGGAAATTTTACAAACCGAAACGAAGCCAAAATAAAAAAAATTGTCAGGCCGAAACCCAAAAAAATTTTATTTACATTTTTTCAATGTTTTTCAATATTTTATTTTTTATCATTTTTTTATAAACTTTTTAAAAATGTTATATTTATTTATTTATTAATTTTTTATTAAATATTTTTATTTTTTACTTTACTTTTAGGGGCTTCGGGAAAATATTAGGGGTCTAAACAGACCCCTGATATTTTCCTTTTAAAATAGAAAAAGAGATTGAGGACACATAGTCCTCAATCTCTTTTTCTGTATCCTCAGTTATCAATGACGCCTGTCTCCGCCCACACACCGCTCTGCCGGACTGTGATAGGAGGCTGAGCGGTGTGGGAGGAGACGCCGGCCTCTGAAAGCGCTCTCCTCCCGCAGCGCTCGGCCGGCTATCACAGTTTCTCTTCTCCCCGCTGGAACACAGAGCAGCGCCCATCAGGTAAGAAAGAAAGCACGGCTGCGCCGATGTATCGGCAGGAAAATTGCACTTTTGGCATTATGCCAAAAGTGCCATTTTAGGCCGATATGTTTCAGTGGCCGATATATCAGTGCATCCCTAGTTGTAACAGTGTCTGCACATTGAAATGGAGCGGTCGTTTTATAATCGAATTACAAGATGGTTTGTGTAGCCATTGAAGATGTAATAGTAATTTTTGATAGTAAAAGTGGAGTTTTCCTTTAAGCATTAACAAAGACTCTCTTGTAGCCCCCTCCAAATGTCCAAACATTACAAGCTGCGCAGATTCAGGGTTTGTTTTACCTCCATGTCCTTCCCCCCGTAGCCGCTTTTCCCTAAAGGATTGTTGGAGGAGTATACTAATTCATTGATGAAGCTGAGCCCAGAGGTTTTGGCCGGCCGCAGAAAGGACAGGTGTCTTAGTGTCTCCCCCACACTTGCTTTTCATTAAGTCTTCCAGACATAGCTGGGAGCAAGCCAAGAATCACTGCTTAGCGCGACGTCTGACATGAACTTTGCAGGAGACGAGAGCGAGGAGGGCAAATCAGACGGAGTTTAAAGCACGCTGGCTGGAAACCGCGGCTGGAGGAACGCGAGACGCACAAGTTAACCGGCGGCGATGGGACCTATAAAAGGACGACTATTTAACGTTGTTAACAATACATTGTTGCAGAGATGTTGAAGTGGTGATCTCTCGGATGCGTTAGGGAAAGTTCTGGACGAGCCTCGTTTCGACTAGTACAAGCCCGTCCAAATGTTTTTTTTTCTTTTCCTCCTCTTGGAGCGGACTGGATAATGTAGATTGTGCTGGACGTCTGTACATAAATGAAGTCATTACTAGGAAGAACGTCTAGGGTGGTCTAGGACAGAGGAAGGGTCGGTGAACTGCCAGTGCCGTCCAGAAAACACAGACAGTGTGCTCAGTTTAATTTTATGATGAATATTTTATCATCCCCATCAGACTTGTAATGTATTGTTCACTTCTCCTGCCTTCTCCAAACTCTTCACCCTTTTGTGAATAACCCTGAAATAGTTTTTAGGCTATTTCAAATCACTTACAATGGATACTGCTCCTTGATGTTCAAAAGGTTTAGCTTCCTGCAGAATCAGCTGGTTCCCTGAGCACTGGTCCAGATATCCTGTTTAAGGGGGGCTCCTTAACCTTGCAGGGTCCTATGTAGTCACCCTTGCGTGTGCTAGTAAACTATGTGTAGCTCCACAAACACACAGACACGGCAAGGCAAACATGTCCCCTGCTTCCTTCTCCAAGATAGTAGATGGACAGCTGCTGGAGACTGCTCTGTCCATTGTGATCTTGTACTGGACAGGATGTTAAGGGAAGCAGAGCTGAGAGAGTTGGAGCCAGCTGTTTGGACTGTAACTGCTTGGGGGAAAATGTAATGCAGGGCAATGTATATTTGTTCGATCTGGATTAAGTGGTGAAAAAGGTTTGAGAATTTAATTCTATTTAATACGGATGCACCGATACCGGTATTTCGGTATCGAGTACGAGTACCGATACATTTTTTTTGGTACTTGCCGATACCGAATACTGAGTACCAGAAGTCCAATTAAGGAAGCCAGGCAGAGTGTAAAGACTCGCCACACGGCTTCCTGATTAGCAGGGAAGCCGTCCCCATGTTTCTCATCACTGGGTGACGAGAAAGCATGGAGACGGCTTTCTGGCCAATCAGGAAGATGGGCGCCATGTAATGACAAGTCACAAGTGACGAGGGAGCATGGAGTCGGCTTCCCGGCCAATCAGGAAGCTGGGCAGGGTGTAATGACTCGCTGCCTGGCTTCCAGATACCAGAAGTATTGGGCTAGGCATTGGAGCATTTGGGCGAGTACTTGGCATCGGCACCGATATCGATATTAGTATCGGTATCGGTCCATCCCTACTATTTAATCTAGCAGGTGCAGAAGATGAATGCCAGACATAAAAATGAGGGCTGCTCAGTAGTTGTGTTTTAAGTTAGTTTAAATGCACAGTTTTCATCTTTGGGTGGAGTGCACCTTTAACACTTTAAAAGAGCTGGAACCCATCTTATTTGTATATCAGTCAGCTGTAGATTCTCAAATCATCGCTTTCATTATGGACTACAATCTCACGTTTAGTTTTCTAATTTGTATTGACATTGTAGTCCATCACAGGAGTGAGCTTGGAGAGGTGGCTACTTTACAGCACACACAGGGACTATGGGGAAGAAAAGTAGCCCCCCTCCAGAAGGAAGGACAGTGTCGGCATGAATTTAGAGATGATTTGAGGATCTACAACTGAGTGATACATAAATAAGATACATTTTATAGTTAAGGTATTTGAATGCATTTTAAGATTTAACTCCTGAGTTAGTGTCACTTTAATGACTCAATAATAACAAGCAATGCTCGTGATTTTCAGCATTGTTTGCTATATTTAAAGAGGCGACAATGAACATCTTTGATTTTTTTTTTCGAGACCTGTGAGTTTTACCGTGATGCTGTGCAGTGGTTCTCAACCTGTGTAACCTGGGGACCCACATTTGTCCTTGGTCATTTAGTCGCGACCCAAGTTGCACAGCAATGGAACGCACAGCATTGCGTTATTGCACTTTCCAGTGCGGGTGATCGAACTGTGGGTGGGAGGTGTGTTTGGGGTGCCATTCAAAAGATCCACCCAGTCTCCATACATTACGAGAACTGGAGTTGATCCTCAGTCTGTCCAGTGTGGGGTGCTGTACTGTGACAGAGCTCCATCCATATGTGCATTGCTTGTACAACTCCCTTTGCGTGCCCTGTAGGTAGCCAGAATGTGACATCACTCTGGTCCAGGACATGTGAGGGAGCTGTAAGTATAGGTGTAGCTCCCTCACGGCCATAGCCCCAGCCCATCCCACCTCAAGCTCACACTCTGCATCGGCCAGCATATTTTGAATGGCTGTTTGGCGCAAGAACTGACAGTGCTGTGCTAGGGGAGGCTGATGAGCTTTTTGCCTTGAAAAGTGGAAGTCACGCTCGACCCACTTTTGGGTCACGACCCACCAGTTGAGAACCAAGGCTCTAAAGCACGTAAATAGATACATACACCCAGTGGCGTCACACGGGGGGGTGCGGCCCGCACCCGGGTGACACCTTTGGAGGGGTGACAACAAAATGACTCACAGTCATTTTGGTGTCACCCCCCTCTGAAAGGTCGGGCGCTCGGTCATGGACCGAACGCCCGACAGTATCAGGAGAGAAGAGGGGACCCGGCGGCATACCTTATCCCGCCGGGTGACTGTCCCCCTCCTCTCTCTGCCGGCGTCCATCACCAAGATGGCCGCAGGCAGG